GGCGCGGGCGGAAGAAGGGCTCCGTGCGGTGGCGCACCATGGTCGACTTGAAGTGGTGGTCCTCCGTGCCGGCATAGGTCACCGGCGCCATGTGCGCCTGCGCCTGGTGCTCGCGCGACTCGTACCGCGCCTGCTGCCGCATTGACCGCTCGGTCCACAGCCACTGGTTCTCGCGGCACTCGATCTGCTCGTCGGCGCACAGGAACGGCTCGCCCTCGGCCTCGGCATAGAGCGTGTCAACGGCGCGCACTACGCACGACGTTTGGCCCACGCACACGCTCGCCACGCGCTTCTTGACCGTCGCTGGCGAGGCCTCGCACGCGTCGTGCACCGTGAGTGGCGTCGTCGTGGTGGCGACGTCCTCGCACGAGCCCTCGATGCGGCCGTAGCGCGCCCACACGATCTCGGAGATGATACCGCCGGCGGGGCACTCCAGGTGCACGTTGTCGTCGTCGGTGGCGCCGCGCGCGAACAGCTGCCCTTGGCCGAAGCCGCAGATTCCCTGCGCCCCTGCACACATATCAGAACAGAATATTACAGCAGCAAGAATCAAAAAATGTGAGAAATGTGGTGGTAAATTTGAATTAATAATATTATTTTTATAAAAAAGACGATACAACATGAGCACCACCATCGTCCTCAAGGACTTTGACAGTACGTCACGCGCTACCGCCCCACCACCCATACCGCCGACCCTTTTCGTGGGAGCGATTTTCTTTTTGTTTCTTGGCTGCCCTTTCGTTTTTTCTGTCTTTTCTTTTTGGGTTTTGTTTGTTTCTTGCCTGCCTTTGATTTCGACGGGCTGTGGGGGGGGCGGGCGATGCAGCAGGCGCCACTGTGTCGCAGGAATTCACGGTGAGCACGGTGCCGGCACTGGGCTCGTTGGAGGGCCGGCCTGTGCGGGCGGAATGGGTGCTCGACGTGCAACAACGAGCGGGCTCGACGGGGACGGGTTTCGTGCGCGACTGGTGGCTCGACTTTGCCTCTGACAACTGCCTCCATTTCCAAGGTAATTATCCCCCCCCCACGCCAAGCCCCAACACTCCCTCACTTGTGGCCATAAGGAGTATCGGAACTGCTTGGCCACGCCTCCGTTCACCCCCACCTAGGTCGTGGTGTGTGTGCGTGTGTGCGTGTGTGCGTGTGGGTGTGTGTGTGCGTGTGCGTGGTGCGTGGTGTGCGTGGTGACAACTTATGTGAGCTTATGGACAGAGGAAGTGAGAAAAAGAAGAGAAGTTAACCCGTGGCAGGAGGGAAGGGCCAGCGAAGAAGTCGAGGAAGAACAGGTCGGCGTCGTCGCCGCCCACCCGGTTGCGCCCGCGCCTGTCGCACAGGCTCACCCGCACGCTCTGCTCCCGCAGCACCCGCACCTCGCCCCCGTCGGCCTCGTTGCCGACGGCCTTCACGATCGAGCTCGCAATGTCGAGCGGCCCGTAAAGCATGAAGCTGCCCTTGACCTTGGACTCCCTCGACAGGTCGCCGCCCTGGTTGGCCTGCCACACGACGGCCACCGTGAGGTGCGAGAGGTCGGTGTCGGCTTCGTGCTCGCGCATGTAGGCCGCCAGATGGCCGGCGGGCATGATGCACAGGCCTGAGGTGGTGAGCGCATCCGACTGAGAAACATGTCGGCCGTCGTAGGGCGTCACCGGACCCGTCCACACGACATCATCTTGAATCACTTGCCCGTCCACCACCCTATGTTGGTGGTGTTGTTGGTATTTGGGGTGGTTTGTTGGTCAAGCCCAAGGGGAGTGAGCGACGTTGTCAAACGCACTTGACTTCGGCGGGCGTGCCGCGAGAGACCCGGCAGAGGGCCGACATCAACAGCTCGGGCTTGGGCATCACGAGGCCGGTCAAAGCGATCACCGTCTCGCCCTCCAGCGTGTAGTCGCCTCCCAGAGGCGCCGTGGACTGCAGCACCGGTTCGTCATCGGCGTACACTGTTCAACGCCCGCACCAAGAAACACACGACACACACGCAACACACGCAACACACCCAACACAACGCAACACAACGCAACTCACACGACACACACGACGGCACAGACCAGGGGGTGAGCGCCGTGGCAATCGGAGGGAAGGAGCGTGGGGGGAAAGGCGAACGGGAGATGTGATTGACTGGACTGAGCGACACGAACCTTTTTGGCATTGGTCGCCGTGATAGCGCTCGGGGCACACGCACTCGGTGGTGGCCTTGTCCTTCGACCACCAGCAGCTGCCCCCATTCTGACAACCGCCCGAGCAGGCAGGGAAGGAGGCCTTGGCGGAGCGCGAGACGCCGAAGCGGGTCTGCACTTGCACCTGGAGGTCGAGCGCTGTGATGGGGGCCGACTCGGGCATGACCAGGTTGCACGAGATCTGCGTGGCTGTGGTTGGTGGCAGAAGAGTGGGTAGTGGTGTTTTTTAGGATTCGTGCTCGTGTGTGTGTCGTGTGTGTCGTGTGTCGTGCGTCATGTGTACCAGAGTCTTGGATGGTGTTGGCGATGCACTCGGTGTGCAGACCAGTGATCTGCACCCTGGGCAGGTCCTGAGCGTCCGGGTTGAGATCCTTGCCGTTGATGTAGAGCTTCAGGAGGTTGGAGGCGGCGACAACAAGGGCTTCCTTGATTACTGGCCCGCCAGCCTGCAGTACGCCCACAGGCGCGACAGTGTGTCAGATACCCAACCAACCACCCGCCCACGAAACGATTGGCAACAAAAGGGGTACCATGTAATTGGTATCACGCTTGAGGATGAGGCCGTCGACCGTGGTGGAGCAGACCTGGTCTCCCAACATGTACGACCTGTCGAGGAAGACCAGCGTTTTCGACCAGGCCACCTGCTGGCCGAAGTTGAGGGAGAGCAGGTCGAAGGGGACGTAGCCCTGCATGCGATGCCTGGCGTCGTCGCCGTGCTCCCAAAGGCAGTTGCGCCCCGGAGCGTCCTTCTCCCAGGCGTCTATGGTCAGCCGCAGCTGGGCCTGCTTGGTCGCAAAGGCGATCTCCGCGGGCACGGACACGCTTCTGTCCTCCCACGGCAGGGCGTATCTCCCCGTGTTGCGGGTGATACATGTGCTCTGGCCCCCAACCTCGAAAGTCCAGGCCCACTCTTCATCCTCGTCGGGGTCGAAGCTGGTGACCGCACGTCATCATCACCATCATCACCGCCGCCGTGGTCGTCATGAGTCAAAAAAACAGCACCAACCACCCACCACCCACCACAAACGAAACGGCCGAGTGAATGGGAGTAAAAATAAATCACTTTCTAACCAGCTTTCAAGGGCGAAGGGGGCACAGTACTGCTCACAGTTGGCGCTGATCTGAAGTCTGGTAATCGTGAGGGTGTAGTCCGCCGCTTGACACACCACTATGAGACCAGCCAAGAACAAGAAGACGACTCGAACCGCCCACAATGGTGAAGATGACGACGAAGAAGACTTCGACGACCACCCCACCATAGTTCGAGCGCGTGTGGGATGTTTGCACTCGAGACTCCCCCAAAGTCCAACTGGGCTAGAAGACAAGCAACTAACTAGTTGGCTTTGTTGAAGAGGAAACAACCATTATTGGGCCTGTGTGACTAAAAACGTTTAGACATTCGCCAAACACTGCCCACGGGTCCATTGTCTTTTTTGGCCAAAGGGAACACAGATCTCGCGGTGCTTTTTCTCCACCATCCCTTGTAACTCTCGGAACATGCCAAGCGCAGAAAATAGGCAAACTCTCATACGTTTATGACCGAGGGCCTTGGCCTAATCGGTTTTCCGTTGCAGGGCAACGTGCGCACCACTCACGCGTGGCAAGCAGCCCAGGTCAGTAGTAGTTAGCTCGAGCCGGAAACTGTTTGGCGCGTTGTGTTGCACACGCTTTGTGCCCGCTCGCCTGCCCGAGATTGGTGGGTTTTGATTGAACGGTGATCACCCCTATGTCTACAACAGGCAGCGCTGGAGAGCTGGAACGGCAAGCTCGCATCGGGCACCACGCCTTACCAGGTTGCCAATATCAACTCCATCACCTACCAGGTTACCACACCCACCCACCCACCACCCACCCACCAACGCGAAATGATGATTCATAAGTTGACCAACCCACAAAATGCGGTAATTATCTCAGGTGGTGTCTGGCGTCCTCATCACCACCGACCTGTCGGTGACGAATGGCGTTCACACTGTGAATCTGGTGGCCACCCAACATCTGAGTTCCCAAGTGGGTTCTTCCATGCTCAGCACCACCACTGTCGCTGGTACGTGCCATGCACTTCATTTGTTACATTTATTTATTTATTTATTTTTCTCAGATATTATTTGCACACGACTCTGACCTCCTCCTTTTATTTTCAAATATATTCATTTTTATCTATATTAGCACCTGTCGGTACGGGCGCGGCGGCGGTCAGCGGGGCTGCGGTCGCTCTTGCGGCCCTCGGTGGTGTGGCCCTCCTGGTGGTCCTGTCGGTCTCTGCCGTGGCCGGAACGGTGGTCTACCGGAAGCACCGCAAGGCTCAACGGACCCTCGCGCAGCAGGAACCCGACCAGTTCTCGCCCCACGCGCAGATCGAGGTTCGTGAAACATTACCGCGACACACACACACACACCACACACACGACACACACCACTCACACACACCCTCACCACACACACACGACACACTCACACACACACCAACTGAGGAGTGTGGGGGGGGGCGAGCAGATGGACATGATTATGCAAGGCATTCAGTCGAGTAAGGAGGAGGAGGAGGAGGAGGAAACGGGCGATGGTGCTCGACTTAAGGCCGCACATACGGACGGCGGCGGCGGCGAGAAGCCGACGTGGCGGATGCGTATCAAGTCCATCACTGCGCGCAGTCCCACCATCCTTGTGGAGGGCAGCAACACGAGCCGTCGGCCTGTGCCGCTGGGGGGCATCGTTGCCGCGGGCAGACCTCCCCAACAGCAGCAGCAGAAGGGCCCCAAGGCATGATTCAGGTCCTCCGCTGGTTTTCTTCTTTTTGAAAAGAAAACAATAAAAACAAGAGACACCACAAGTTACTGTTCTCTGCGCGGGCGCAGGTGAATCGCGGCCACGACGATGGCAGCAGCCAGGAGGGCTGCGAGGGTGAAGCTGCCCACCAGGGTGAGGCCGATCACTGCCGCGTGGTACCTCCCCGCCGCTGTCGTCGCCGGCTGCGGCTGCTGCTCCTCGTCGTCGTGGGCGTGCACGGTGCAGGCGAAGGCGAACTCGACCGTGAAGGTGGTGTTGATGAGGTGGCTCCTGGACACCACGCGGTAGGAGCCCGGCGTGAGCACCGGCCCAGCAACGGCCACTGTGCCGCGGTCGAGCACCACGTCGGGCATGGGCTGCGGCCCGATGATGGAGACCACGTGGTCGAGCAGGTCGCGGTTCTCGAGCACCACCACGTCGCCCACCGCCAGCCGCTGGTCCACGGCGCTCCACACCGACGTGTCCACCATCTGCGGCTTCACCAGGCGCAGCAGGTGCCTGGTCGGCGCGCTCCGGTAGTTCTCCGTACGCTGGGCCACGCGCGTGGTGGCGTGGAGAGCCAGGGCAGCGTCGCGGTAGTGCGTGGTGGCAAACCAGGCGTGCACGTTGTTCGACTCCATCACCGCGCAGCCGTGCTCGTAAGCCGCCACGTGCGCCAGCAGCGAAGCGTCGTAGTTCAAGAGGTCGGAGCGGTCGATGCAGCGACCGCAGGCGTCGGTGGTCTTGGCGTTGTAGCGCACGGTCAAGTGGGTCGACACGGTGCTGCTCTCCACCGTGGTCAGTCGGTACTGGCCGGGTTGCGAGATCTCGATGTGAAGCGAGTTGCCCGGCCGCAGCGTCGGGGAGAAGAAAGAGAGCTGCCGCTTGGCCCCGCTGTCGTCGTCGTCGTCGCCGCCGAGCCGTTCGAGCGTGACAGTGTAATCACGGCCCGCGTGCAGGTTCTGCACGAGAAGCGTCTCTCCGGCGTCCAGCGTGCTGCGCACCGCGATGGCCTGGAAGTCCCGGATGACGACAGTGGCCTGGGCGAAGGGCAGGAAGCAGCACGTCGTGTTGTCGCCGCCGCACACGCCGCACAGGTCGCGCACCAGGCCCGAGTTGGGCACGCCGTCGCAGCCGGCGCACGTCGAGTTGTCGCCGCCGCACACGAAGCACTTGTCGAGTCGTTCGCCCTCACACTGACATGCCCTGTTCACCCCCCCCCAAATACATACAAATTACAATCGAAATCCACGCAAGTTTGCCCCCATGTTTCGCTCTCGTAGACAGGTGGGGCGTTGGCGTACGGGTCGGTGGGGAGGCGCCCGCCGAAGCACTGGCCGGCGCAGTCCTTGGCGGCGTTGAACTCGCGCCCGGTGGTGCCCAGCACGCACTCGCCGCACTCGTCCACCACGGCCTTGCCGCCGCACACGCCCGTGCAGTCCCGGCTAGAGCTGTCGTCGCCCTGCGCGTGGCACACGCCGCACTCGTCGCGCGTGGCCTTGCCAAAGCACGTTCCCTGGCAGTCCTTGTGTGCATTCGGCTGCGGCCCCATTGCAAAGAGCACAAATATTGTTAAAAAAACAAAACCACCACAGATGACAGAGCAGGGCAAGAAGTAAGTTGACTGGCAAGAGGGGGGGCGAACCGGAAGACCAGAGCGGCCATCCACACAAACGCCGCACTCGCCCACGTATGCCGAGCCACCACAGGTGTTGGCGCAGTCCACCCAGTAGCCATCGCCCCTGTGGTAGTTTTCGGGCAGCGCGCACACGCCGCACGGATTGCGAAGAGCCGTGCCGTTGCACACGCCCATGCAATCGACCAGGCCGTCCTCGCACTCATCGCGCTCGGCCACCGACCGGGCCAGCTGGACGCCCGCCAGGGAGTTGGAGGAACAACCGCCAGCCGCACAGGTGGTCGGGCAGTAGACGCGCACCACTTTGGCCTGTAGGCGGGGTCCCATCCCAGTGCCTGAAAGCCAACCGATTCAGCCACGCAAGCATAGGGGGTCACCACTAAAGCGTGGGTCGGCAAGCACCTTCAAGCGAGATCTCCAACTGCCGGGCCGTAGTGATGTATCTGATTGGGGACCCGTTGGCACTCCTGAGTTTTTGAGAACAACAACACAGAAACCATGAAAGTGTCAAACGACCAGCCATGACTTGTACGGCCAGCGGAGCGGAGATGAGGCGTACCTAAGGTAGACTGCGTAGTTGGTGCCAGGTGGTGCGCCAGAGTCGCCCCAGGATAAACTCACGCTTGTGTTTAGGCTATTAAAAACGGCTTCCAAGCCGTAGGGAGCCATGTGGCTGGTCAAGCAATAGCCCTGCGAAGCCGCCAAGCACAGGGAGCAGTCCAGGTGGGGGCAGTGCGCGGGGCTGAGGGTCCACTGGTAGGGCTTCAACAGGAGCGAGGAGGGAACAGTTGCAGTTCCGCTGCAACCCCGGTAGACGTACTGATAGTCGCCGTTCCCGTCTGCGTGGAGCTTCACGAGCAGGGCGCCCAGATCGACCCTCCACTCCTGCGCGCGGAACATGAGGAACCGCGTGGCACAGGTGACGCCCGGCGGAAGCGGCACGCACCATAGGGTCCCGTTCGGCTCGGCGTGGTAGCCGGCATAGCCGCCGGCCAGGACCACCGACCGCAGCTGAGCGGCTTGGGCCGGGGCCGGACCCTCGGTACAGGTGGTCTCGTAGTCGGCCGTGTCGGTCAGGCCCCGGCCCAGGGGGAGGCACTGGGAGCAGTCCCGGTCGGACCCGGGGCAGTGGACCGAATCCATGAGCCAGTTGCGCGGACACAGCAGGAGGGTGTTGGTCGTCGGAACGCACTTGACGATGCGGTAGAGCCAGCCGCCGTCCTGGTCGCCCGACAGGCGCACCGAGGCCAGGGGGTGCTGGTTGATGTCCAGGTTGGCCATGTTGGCGCCCATGAACAGGCTCCCCGAATCGGCGCAGCTGGCCCCGCTCCAGGCGGCCGTGTCGAGCAGGCGCAGGTAGAGCAGGGCCTGGCTGCACTCGGTCGCCCCGGCGATGGCCTGACCGGTGAGCCTCTCCACCGGGAAGGTCGACTCGGCCCCCGCGATCCGATACGACAGTGCAGACGCGGGGGCGCTGTCGGGCACAGCGCCCAGATTCGGGTGCGGCTGGGTCGCGCCGCAGCGGCACGAGCAGTCGGCGGTGCGCACGCAGCCGGCGCCCGCGCACGCGTTGTGGCACTCGCACGAGCAGGCGCCGTCATTCAGCACACGGCCGCCGTTGTTACAGGTGTCCACCGGGCACGTGCAGTCGCGATCAACAGAGGGGCATTGGCAGCGGCACTCGGCCGCGTCGAGGGTGCCGTTGCCGAAGCAGGCCGTGGGGCAGGGCCGGTTAGTCGGCGCGGCGTCGCCCCAGCAGACCGTCACCTCGTCATCGCGCATGCCGCACGCATAGCCGCGGCTGGCCGCCAGAAGCACGAACCGCACGCCAGCCGGCGGGTTCAGCACCCCGTGGGCGTTGTTCCCCCAGCACAGGGGGCTACCGTCGGCTTGGAGACCGCAGACGAATCCCTCACCGAGCGTCAGCTGCACGAACGCGGTCGCGCCGATCGAGCCGGCCGGCTTTGCCGGGGAGCTGTTGCCCCAGCAGGCGGCGAAGTGGTTCGCGTTCAGCGCGCAAAAGTCATCGCGATTCGACACGAGGGTGCCCGGCAGGAAGGCGCCCGGTGGCGGCTGCGGAGGCGGGGACCCCACCGGCGGTGGTGCGACTGGAGCCAGGCACCGAAGTGCACCGGTGCCCTGTTCGACGCCGCAGGCCCACGAGTCGCCCATCACGATCTGGGCCAGGACCATCGACTCGTGCACCTGGCCGAAGGCCTTCTGGCTCCAGCAGATGGGAGAGCCGGTGTCGGCCAAGATGCCGCAGGCCCGGTTCTGCGTGAAGGCCACCTGGCTGAAGGAGTGGTTGCCGTTCATTTCGATTTCTGCGCCGCGGCAGTCGAACCGGAGGTCGTCGGTTCGCACGCACATGCTCTGGTCGCGAACCATGATCGACTGCGCCGTCGAGGAATAGGACATGGCCTCCTCGCCCCAGCATTGCACGTAGCCGTCGTAGGCAAGGGCGCACGCGAACGAGACACCCGATGAGATGGCCCAGAACTGTTGGTTGGTGGGGGCCGCGACCGAGGCGCCGCTCGGCCCGTGGCCCCAACAGTCCACGTGGCCGGTGGAGCGCAGCGCGCAGGCGTAAGTGGGGTGAGCGAAGAGCTGCGGCTTGGTGGTGGCCAGGCCGGAGGCCAGCGCAACGCTGGCCAGGACGAGCAACAGGAGGTACAAGAGCTTGTCCTCCCACATCAGCCTCCTTTGTCTAACTTGAGCAGCAAACGTTTTCCTTCCCTTCTTCTTCTTCTTCCTCCTCCTCTGTAACAATGGAGCAGGTCTCGAGGTTGTGCTGCTGTTTTCCAATGTGCCGGAAACCGCAAACTGTGCCCAAGGGCAGGCACGATGATCTCCGACCTCGTTCGCTGCTGCTGGGGCTCTTGGCCCTCTGGGTCCCCGTCGGCTTCCTTTTCTTTTCGTTGGTGGTGAGGTGCGCTCCTGCGAAGCTGTGACAGCCTCCTCATGGAAACGGCGGTGATCTCCCAAGTTTCGATTCCGGCAGTGTCCTGGCCTCTCGCAATGCGGCCGTAACCTAGGCCACCAATATATTGTCATGTGTTGGTTGGTTGTTGTGCTGTTTTTGATATGTATATGGGTCCTAGGGCCAAACATACCCTTGTCTCCCCAGGTTACGCCCCAGGAGTTGGCAATGAGCCAATAGTCGCCGCCCTCATCAGGAGCTGTGCCCCACCTGTGTTTCAATACAGAAAAAGAAAAAATAACATGCATCAGTGATGCATCATCACAAGTCCAACAAGTCCAACAATCTCACATGTGTGTAGCAAAAGGCAAAAAGCAAAGCGGCGGACCCGATGACTGTGACCACATGACCGCCTATGAAATCCCAAGAATCCCACGAGCAATTCCCGGCATATACGGCGGTTGGCGGATTGGTATTACTGGAACCGGGAAGACAGGCCACCCGCGGTAGGGTGAGCGCCACAGACATATATGTCACACATATGACGACGACGACGGTGTGTGTGTGTGTGTGTGTGAAGGTGAGGCGCGTGGTGTGTGTTGCCAGCGTGAGAACCGAAGAAGGGGCCGTACTAGAAATCTTTCAGGCTGTGGCACACGTAGATGTTGGCTGCGACGGGACCGTTCGTCTGAATCTCTTGCATCATATCCGTGACAGACGCCGAAAGAAGCCGGGTGGGGCCGTTCGCCTTGGTAAGGTAAGCCAGTTTCGGCAGACCGGTGTCGTCGCACCGGGGCTGCGCATGATGACCACCACCAGCCGCCAGCCACCAGCAGCAGCCACAGTAGAGAAGTCGTCAACGCCAAGCAGCACACGGTAAGGGAGGCGGGGGCAATGCGTACCCGGCAAAAGATAGGGCTGTGATCCCAACCTTCGGAGTATCTGTAGGGTCGGCACGAGACTGGAGGCAGGCCCGCGGAGCCCACGAACATGGCCGCTTCCCCATTTGATCCGCCAGCGCACGGGTTGCCGCCCGATCCCATGGGATACAGACAGTCGAGCAACTCCTGGGGCGCGAGCTGGTAGAAGCTGCACATCCTGTCCGTGGCTGCTGTGGCGACAGCAAACGCGGCACCGCTTTCACGCAATCACGGGGAATTGAGATTGAAGAACAACCACACCACTATTGGCAAAAAATGATGGTGATGGTGAAAAGTGGTGGTGGTGGTGGTGGTGGTGGTGGTGCGGTGTACCTGCCACACAGGCCCTGGTTCATGATGGGGGTGGAGCACGAATGCGCTTCGCGCCAGTTGAACGACTCTTGGACTACATACACCACCAGGAGAAAAAACAAACAAACAAAAAAACAAACAAACAAAACACGTCACATCAACTGAATACAAAGTTGATGGTAGAGAGGGGAGGGGGGGGCGAAGAGCGTACAGCAGCCGTCTGTGCAGGCGATATCGATGGCGTTGCTTGCCCGTCCCTCGCGCCAGTTGAGCCGGGCTGCGCCACCGCACACGCCCTCGCAATCGACGCGCGCCGAGCCGCCGCACACGCCCTTGCAGTCCATCGACGCACTCGGTCGTCGGCCCGTGGTGCCGCCCGTGCACTCGCCGCACCTGTCCAGCGCCGCCGAGCCATGGCACACGCCGGCGCAGTCGATGGCCGGGTTGGGCGTGTAGCCCGGCGCAGTTGGATCGGCGCACATGGCGCACGCGTCCAACCGGGCCGCACCATGCGGCACGCCCAGGCAATCGCTGCACGTCGAGTTGTCGCCGCCGCACACGCCGCACGCGTCGACGGCGATGTCCGACGGTTCAACCACGATGACGCCGTGGATGGCCGTGTTGTGCTGGTCGTGCCACAGGTAGAGGCCCGGGCTGAAGAACCGGTGCGGCATGCTCGCTGCGCCCGGCGCCAGCGCGGATCTCCCGTCGCGCCCGGGCGCGGCCACGGTGTCTATGAGCGTCGTGCTGTACTTGGCACCGCCGCTGCTGGGGCTTGATGAGCCCATCATGAGGCTGCGCATGCCTCGCTGCTTCGTCGTGGTCGTCGTCGGGTCGTTGGTCATCGTTTCGTTGTTGGCGCTTGCCGCGTCGGCCGTGGTGGTGCCAGCGCTGCGGGGCCGTGCCTGCGCCATCTGGACGAACGACATGCCCTCCTTGATGAGAGGCCCGACGGCGGAAATGGCGGCCGTGGGGGGCACGGGCACGCCAAAGGCCAGCGGGATGAAGGAGGCGCCCACCGGGATGCCGACGCGCAGCACGCCCAAACCTACCCGGCCGATGGTGGACGCCACGTACTGCGCCGAGCCGCCCGCGGGCGCGTTCTCCTGCCAGGTCTTGAGCTGCGCGTCGAGCATGTTGAGCGGGATCATGACCGGCGCGACGGCCAGCGACACCGGGTCTAAGTTGGTCGCGAGGGTGACCAATGACATCGGGTCCGACGCGACGGCCACGAGGGAGTCGCCCGCGAATGACACCGAGCCCGACGCGACGGCCGCGAGGGAGTCGCCCACGAATGACACCGGGTCCGACGCGGCCTGCGCCAGAGTGTCAACGGCGGAGCTCACCATCTCCGGCGCGCTCTCGACGACGTTCTGAGGGTCGAGCAGCACGTCGTCGACTGCGTTGGTCAGCGTCTCCCGTACGCGCTGGCGTCCGGGCCGATCCTGGTCGGTCCGGGTCTGGCGCCGACGCCAACCGACCCAGACGGGCCGGGGCCTGCGCCAACCGACCCCGGTCCGACGCCCAGTGACTCTCTCCCTCGTTTGTCGCGACAGAGGCAGCGGATTCCGCTCGAGCTCGAGTCGTCGTCGTCGTCCGCTTTTTTGTTGTGGGCCTCCAAGTTGCTGGCGGTCCTTCGCGCAATGGCCTGGCCCACTTCGGGAAGAAGAAGAAGCAGTGGCGTCCTGGTCGAGTTGGCGATCGGCGACGACAGGCTCTGAAGTTGGAGCTGCTGCTTCTGCGCCACGAGCTTCGACACCACCAACGAGCGCAGCGATCTGCTGCTCCCGGGCTGGTGTGTCGCCCGCCGCGTGTTGGCTTGATTGCGCGCGACCCGGCGGTGGTACGTGTCATGTTGGTCGTCGTCGTCGTCCGCAGTCGGGGCGCAGCAGACGCCGCTCATGGCATACTGCTCCTTCTCCTCCTCCTCGTCGTCCGTCTGGTAGGCCGCGCCAGCGCTCGGGTCCGATCCGTCGCCACGGTTGGTGTCGCTCGATCGTTTCTGGCGCAAACGGGCCTCAAAGAAAGCGCTGCCTACCGGACTCGTCGCCCGCCTGTTGTCGAGCCCGCACATGGTTCTTGGTCAGTTAAATGTTTTTAAAAAAAGAGTGGGTGTGGACGGACCAGCTGGGGGACAGCTCGGCGTCGGCGTCGTCGTGCGGCGACACGGCAGACGAAGCGGTGGACCGGCGGCGGAGGTACTGCGTTGTGGCGTCTGGCGCCGGTCCGTGTCTGTCACCAGAGGGATCCACGGCCACTTCCACGCGGTCTTTGATCCACATCGTCGCCGTGTGCTTCTGCGGACGTGAGAGCACGAAAAAGAATAAAGATAAGAAAAAGAAAAAGAAAAAGAAAGATTAGAGAGCGTGGGAAGGGGGTGCACCGCAAGGAAGGTGTCAATGCCACGGTCGTCAAGCTGATCGGTGTTGTCAGGCTGGGCCGTAAAACGCGACAGTTCGACCGCGGGCGCGGCCTTGTAGTCGTAGGCCCCGCCCATGATCTCCACCTCCCGGTCGAGCAGGTTCTCCCACACCACTAGGTCGCCCACGCGCGCCCGCGTCACCATCGACGACCACGACGACGACGACCCACCGTTGTCTTTGCTGTTGTGGTGGTGGTCGACGCGTACGTAGTGCCACTGGGCATGCGCCGGCTTGGGAATGCAGCACGTCGATCCGTCGCCGCCGCACACGCCGCACGCGTCCACCGCCTTGCCCGACAGCGCCACCCCGTCGCACCCGCCGCACGTCCCGTTGTTCCCGCCGCACACCCCGCACGCGTCCACGCGCCCGTAGCACGCCACGCTCACCGTCTGCGCCACGTGCGAGATCACGTTGGCCGCCTCCGTCGAGAAGCCCGAGTGCAGGATGACGGCGTGCAGCTCCTGCTTGCCGAACAGCGCCCGGTTGCGCGTGTCCCAGAAGAGCTTGACCTCGTAGCGCGTCGTCGTCGTCGTCGAGCCCATCACGCGCGGCACCAGCACCGTGCCGATCAACCGGCCGCCCGCCTGGCTGCCCACGCCGCCGCCGTGCCACAGCTGCACGAGCACGTTGGCCCGCGTGAAGGTGTCGCCCAGCACCGTCGCCTTCACCTGGTACCCGATCGTGAGCCCGCTCCCGTCGCTCGCCATCACCGCGCTCAGTCGCGATGGTGGGGTCGAGCCGCAGGGTCTGGAGCGTGTAGCCGCTGTTGGCCATGTCGTGGAACAGGAGGCTGTAGGCGTGGTTGTTGTCCTCGTGCATCTCGTCGAGCTCGTCGTTGTCGTCGATCGTCGCGTGGATGTTCTGCACGCCGTCGAAGAGGAACAGGAACCACACCTCGCGCTTGCCCTGGCCCGGGATCAGCCCCACCTCCTCGATGCCGACTGCATTTGGTGTGGCACACGCAACACACCACACACGCACACGACCAACGACCAACGACACGCACACGACACGACCAACGACACGACACGCGCTGAGTGAGACCCTAGGAGTGAGAAAAGGAGCAATGGTTTGCGGGGGGGGGGTACTGAGGGCGTTGTCGTCGAGCAGGCACGCCTC